GTATAATGTGGGTGTGTATTTATTTAGAGAAGTGTTTTTTGTGGTAAATTACTCATGTTTTGTTATTCTTATTGACACGAAACTAAAAAAATAAGACACTAAAAGCAATGAAAAATAAAAATGTATTGTGTTTTTGCACACAATAACTTTAACATCTTTTATATCTAATACATTAAAGAGTACATAAAATCTGAGTATTTCATACAACAAAAGTTCAATGAATTAAATAAAATCTAACACATTATCATTTGGAAACCTAAATTTGGGCCTCTGGTTAAAGAATTCTCTACACGTCGAAAAAAATAATCGTTTTACTCGTAAAATTTAGTCTAGATACAAAAAAAATCATTTTCTCATGTCTGTATCTTCTGCCTAAAGGTATACAACACATTTGTGTCTATATCGAATATGTTTAACATAATAAAACTTAAGGTCTTTTACATACTAACGCATTTAATAGTACGAACAATTTGTGCAAATCTACCACCATGACGATTTTCCAAGTGTATTACTCAATGTTTTTGCATACCATTACGAATTTAAGGTAAATAAGCCCAAACCAAATATTACTAACCGTCGTTGTTTACGCGCTTTATCGTTTTTTTTGTAATACGCTAGCGCATTTCATACAACGAAAATTCAGAGCATAAAATAAAACCTTACACATTATAGTTAGGAAATCCAAATTTGGGCCTCTGGTTTAGAAAGAAATCCGTACACGTCAGGAAATAATCGGTCTACTCGTTAATTTTTTTTCCAAAAAAACAAAGCCAGTACAGTTAGGTCGTGGCATAGTGGGGAGGAATAATAATTCCTGTAGCCCTCCCCACAGGGCTACAGGAATTATTATTTATTTATTTCGCATGGCATGAACAACAAACACATAATACACTATTACATTTCAAACTGTAACAAATAATAAAACAGATCATAATCATTTTACATACATTGTTTTTAGTGTAAAATAAATCAACGTATAATAAAATAATATTAGTCATTTATAAGTCCAAGTCAAGCTCACTTAAGCATTCTATTGCCTCTTTGGTAACCCGGTGATTTCCTATAATCCCTTGTTCAAATAGACTCTTGGGCATACCCACAATGTGGTTCATAGACTGTTCCACTTCTCTGCAGTCACATGCTAATAATTGTGGTACATTATGTAGATAATATAAAAATGACACTAACGAATCATAATCTGATCACCTACTCTTATTTTAGAAATTATAATTATTCAAAATACATGCTGTTAGTACTTAACGCACCCTTAGAACATGACCGCCACGGCTAAAAATTTATAGTTTTGTGAAAAGTCTATCCGAAGTTTAAAACTGAGATATTAGGATATAGGGTTCTTTAACGACGCATGTGAAACTAACAACTTATGTACTTAAAAGCATTAGACATTTTCAAATATTTCTGAACACTTTTCAACCGAAAAGTTAGGTTTATGGCTTTTTACAGTTCTTCAAGTGAATGCGAGACTGTCTTATTCTAAGATGTGGTTGCACTGTATCAGTGCTTGAAAATTTCCTTCGAAAAAGAAACTAGTCCTTTCCCGTTCCAAGCTTGAAGAAATGAACTAGTTCCTTCCATCGTTCCCATAGGGTAAACCACTCTTAGAATTACTGTGTTGCCAAGTTTGGGGATTTTTCCTTTTTTTGGAGATTTTAATTTTTCTGGGGAATTATGGATGTTTTACCTTTTTTTTTACACACACACACATAATTACAGTATGATATCATTATGATGAACCACTCAATATCTCATAGGGTTTAATAATAAATTAAATTTTTTTTTTACATATTGTTTTTATATAATGTGATCTCAATTTTCCAAAAAAAACTGTTTTTACCCCCCCCCCCCCACAACTTAGTTTTTTTGATAGTTCACAGTGGTATTTAATAGATGGACAGTAGATTCAAACAAGTACAGTCCAAACCAATCAGAGTATAAATCAGCACACTAAGAAAGTTTTATATATAAGTGAGAAGTAGTTGTAAGTAGTAGTAGTAGTAGTAGTAGTAGTAGTAGTAGTAGTAGTAGAAGTAGTAGTAGTAAGTGAATATCGTTAGTTTCGGGAAGGGAATAGCCACAATTTGAAATCTTATTGTAAAGATATAAATACTCCAAAATCAGGATGGGTTCCCGTCTGTTTCTCATGTATTCTACCCTTTGGAATGTTTATATTGTTTAGATTGTGAGAGGGGAGGGATAATATTGTTTGTGAATTAACCTTAAAAGTGAAAAGTAAAAAAAAAATTATTGAAAACATGTCGAAGTTGTAAGATATGCCTTTCGAGGCGTTTTAAACTGTCCGTTCCTGATTATATGAGCGTAACTTAACTTTGTCATGTATTTAATTGAGTTTTATTTTACAAGAACAAAAGTAGTCAAGCCTTAGCTATCAGAATATTATACACATCTGTGTTCTGGGGGTTGAAATATAATTTTTGGTGTTAAGTAAAAACAAGTTTATATGACAGTACCCCATCAAGAAGCATAATACTATGTATAGTATATTAAATCGGATGATTCGGTATCGCTTTTATAAAATTTGTCCTGGTTACATACTACCTGTTGTTTTCTTCAAACCGATAAAATTCGTACACGGGTAACCTTCATATATTATTAGTTAATAACACGAAAACATGTTATTATTTGAACAACGCAAGTGTACAATATTATTCTGCTCGTGTGTTACAACTTAGATTGTACTGAGGTCTTAGACTGGGAGGCCTCTGCCTCTCGAAATTTGCCTTGTTATTTAGCAGATAGCCTTCTAATCGAAAAACACGACTCAATAAATCATTGTAATGATACAAGAGCCGCTATTTATTTAAATAACAATTTTGTCCAACACTACCAAAGGGGCTATAGCCTGCCCCAGAATTTTTTTTAGCCGCCCTCTCTTGATAATACATGTATTTTCTATGATCATGCTAGATGTGCAACTGAAAAGGTTTTTTTTCTTTCATTTTCCCACATAAATAATACAACTAATGGCGAATAATAACCAACTAATAATTTAATTTCTATGTCGAGGTGGTATCTGCCTATTACAGACATATTCCGGATTGCGGCACGCTATACATTTTAAAAAAATTAACACTTATAGCATTAATAGTTTTAACTAAATATCATGAATCTTTTCATGTACAATACATTTGCAGGTATTTATTTCGCCATTTACGGTGTGGCTCAAGATCGATTGCTTGTTTGAAAAAGTATCAAATTTTACAGATTTTTAGCAAAATATTATTATAATTATGAAAAGTGAGCTAGAAAGGGATGCAAATGGTGTTTTTGTAAATTTTTCTGTTCTCCTGTCTAGACGTTCTTTATCGTTTAATCTATGCCACTGTATAGATTTTATTAAAACTTGTCTAATATATAACTTATAAACAGATAATGTATTTGTACAATTAAATAATTCCGCTGAAGGATGTGTTAACGGAAAGGAGTACGATACCTTTTTAAAAATATTTTTAGGCAGCGTGTATTGAAGCAATTTCTGTTCTATTTGTGCCACCCCAACAAGTTATACCATATAATAGAATTTAACTGCACAAAGCCATGTATACATTTCTTATTGTTGATTTTTAAATATTTAAATCTCCATGTAATGCATAGGAGGGACTGTTAAAAGATTAGTGTATAAAGCCAGCTTACAACGAACTTCAAATTATCATACCTTCAATCCGCATACAATGTATGAATTTAGAAAATCTACTCGCACACACGTTAAGTGATTAGGCATGAAATGACACAATAACAATATTTTCTATGTAGTATAGATAGTTAATAATCAAAATTCACTAAATGTTTATACTTGTAAATGTATTATATAAAATGAATTTAAATAGTTGTTTCATATATAACAATATACCAATAGACATTTTAAAATAAAAAAAATTAAAAGGATGAATCAGAAGTAAAAGCATGTAATGGTCATATTATATACAGGGTGATTTTTTTTATCTTGGGCCAGTCAATATCTCACTGAGTTTAATTAATACCTACTTGGATCTTTTTTTATTCATAGTGTTTTTATATAATGTGATCTCGATTTTCCACAAACTATTATGTTTCTACCTGACCCCCCAAACTAGTTTTTTTAATAGCATTTTTTGAAAATTAAATGGAAACGTTTTAAGTTTTTTAAATAAAGAATATTCTACTAAAAATGTTGACTAGTCGACAAATAAATTTGGATAACTATTTTTGAAGTTATTGAAGTTTCAAGTTTAGGGTAGGTGGAATAGTACTACACTGCACTTCCCCTCCTGTAATAACTTTTAAACTCTTATAACTTTAAAAATAATAATCCAAAACTGGTTATCAACCAGTCAACATTTTTAGTACATAATTCTCAGTTTAAAAATTTCATGAAATATATACGTTACCATTTAAGATTCAAAAATTCCTTTAAAAAAATCTAAGTTGGGAGGAGGATAAAAACAAAAAAAATTGTGAAAAACTGAGATATTGAGCGGCTTATGATAAAAAAATCACACTGTATAATAGGAGTATGTTTTTAATACATATTTTTTTTTGTAGCTAACAATATGCATAGCTTTTGTAGGTAGTTATTATTTGTTCCTGAACTTAGTACATGATAATAATACTTTTAAAAAACATACATACTAAAAAATACCTTAACATATGTAGGTTATTATAAATGTTGTTTACTCCTATATTATTATACACCGCAATAGCGTTACAAGAAAACATGACTAAACTTTTTGTAGATAATATTTATATTTTATTACTATCGAAAATTATACTTGTTCAAGTATTAAAAAGGTTCCAGGTTAAATCAAGAGCATAAAGATTATAGATAGTAAATAATCAAAATGTATTGTATATTTATATTTGTTATAATTTAAAAAGTTAAGCAATTATAATATTTTTATTATATTACTATCGACAATTGTACTAATTATAGTAAAAACATATAGTTAAATTAGACAAGGTAATAAATACAAATTTACTTATTCGACGAATATTGTTTTTATTAATATATGGTATAAGACATGATATAATTTATATGATAGAAAACAGAATATGTTTTTAGAATACATTGTTATTTGAAAAATCTAAAGGTTGAAACATAATAATTATGATAAATAAAGATGATGATTTTACAAAATACATGTATTAATAAGCATATGTATTTTCAAAATGTGAAACTGATCTTGGATACTGCAGCTTTGTTGGTAAATTGAACTACCGTTATTTAGCTAAAAAAACAAATATTGTGTAAAAACATGGTTTATTTATAGCTTACACATGGTTTTGAATTCAAATTAAGTTAGGCTTCTATATAAATGTATAAAGTACATTATTTTGGTCTTGGTCGTTAATGTGTTTTTAGTTTTTTTCTGACACTTTTTTTTAACATTTTATACAATTTTTCAGCTTTTTGAAAATATTTAAAAAACTCCTAGTATTATTGCAAAGCACAAAAACTGATATTTTCTTCCAACTTACGATCATTTGAAAAACAAATAATAAAAATGGATAATCATTTTCACTTTTGAAATTTATATAAGCTATAGCAGTTTAAAAAACTTACGGGGAACATGGTCCTTCGTGTCAAGAGCTGAAATATCGAAAAAAATTGCTTAAATATTTAATTTATCCCAATGCATTACATAGAAAGAAATAATTTTTTTTTTTGGATTATTATTTATAGTGTATTTAATTTTACTTTTGAAATTTATATAAGTTATAGCAGTCTCAAAAAAGACTTACTTTCAGGGACAAGGGGCGCAACTGGATTTGGAATAGCTGAAATATCGAAAAAAATTACTTAAATATTTAATTTATTCCAATGAATCATGTGGCTCATTGTTATAGGGCTAGTACACAGTTGTTTTAATATTTAATATATATATATATATATATTCGTTTTAAATGGATTGTTTTCATAGGTATTTTTCTACATTCATAAAATAAATATTTTTTTGCTTTCTTGCAGGATGTAACTGATATAAATTTTCATACAAATCTGAAGGTTATATAATAAATATAATATGTATGTAAAATAATATCAGCTTTCTGTAAAAATATTAATTTTTTTTCGCGTAACAGAAAGTCATTAAAATTGTGTTTATTGTCTAAAAAGTTGTATTTTTACAAATTATATTTTTCAAACAATTTTTCAATTAGACATACCGTTTTATAAAATAATATGTTTATGGACATAATAAACATACATTCAACAAACTTACGTCCCTTTTGAAATTTATATAAGTTATAGTAGTCTCAAAAACTTACTGGGTAAAGTGTTTCCAACATCAACAAGAGCTGAAATATCGAAAAAAATTACTTAAACATTTGATTTATCCCAATGCATCATGTGGCTCATTGTTATAGGGCTAGTACACAGTTGTTTTAATATTTATTCGTTTTGAAAGGATTTTTAACTAGATATTTTTCTACATTCAAAAAATAAATATTAATCTGGCAAAAAATGCTGATTAATTTTTTGGGTGACAAAAAGTCATTAAAATTTAGTTATTTATTTGAAAAGTTGTATTTTCACAAACTGCATTTTTGAAACAATTTTTCTACTATACATACAATTTTTTATAATAATATGTTTATGGACATAATAATCTTCATTAATTTATCAACAATGTTTAATAACAATTTATACTTATTTTTAGCTTTTCGAAAATAAATTGTAAAACTACTAGTATCTTTGTAAAGCACACAAAAACTGATATTATTATCCAACTTGCAGTCATTTGAATAACGAATAATAAAAATGGATAATCATTTTCACTTTTGAAATTTATATAAGCTATAGCAGTTTAAAAAACTTACGGGGAACATGGTCCTTCGTGTCAGGAGCTGAAATATCGAAAAAAATTGCTTAAATATTTAATTTATCCCAATGCATTACATAGAAGGAAATCATTTTTTTTTTTTGGATTATTATTTATAGTATCTTCGTATATCAAAATTAAGTTATTACAAATCAGATATTTACGTAAAATTATATCAGCTTTCTGAAAAAAATATTAATTTTTTTTTCGCGTAACAGAAAGTCATTAAAATTGATTATTATCTAAAAATGTTTCTACTATTTTAAACAGAAAGCTGAGGAAATTTTACATAGTGTGTACATAGTTTCAAATTGGAAACTCCATAAAAACTCTAAAAAAAAAATTTAAATGAGGTATAAAAAGGTAAATTATGCGATAAAATTTCATAAACAAGTCGAAAAAACTGGTAAAAACGACCACAGAATTCGAAATAATTTTGTTGGCTGAAGATACTATATGAAAAAAAAATATAAAAAATTATATTCTAAAAATGTTTTTTTTACCTATTGGAGCTGGAGCTGATACACCCGACATCATTATTAATAATATGGTGGCTACAATATAAATTATACTTTTAAAATTCATTTTATTGAAGAAGTTATTAAAATTAAACACCAAGAATCTAGAATACTTTACTAGAGCAACCGTACGTTTGATGCTTACATTATATAGAGAGATATGTTTGTCTTATTTTGTAGGCGAAGGGAGTGAACAATTTGTAATTATTTATGTATTGTTATTGTTTATGAGTTCATTGTTTGTTAAATACGTTTAGCAGAATTATGTTTTTTTTTTTGTTTTAGCATCTTATTTATTTAAGTTTTGCATCGAATAACATGAGTAATAATACTTTTTCCTCATCCTACCCTCCCCATCACGGGTGATGACATTTTTTTGTATGTTTAAGACCTTATAGTTGAAAATATCGTGCGCGTGTATTGTTCAAATAATAACATGTTTTAATATTAAGCTAAAAAAATTGTAGGATACTCATGTACAAATACACGATTTGTGCTGCACAAAATTCTAAAATGTTTGTCTTTATTTGTAGGCGAAGGGAGTGTAAATATTTAAATGGTTTATGTATTGCTATTGTGTATGAGTTCATTGTTTGTTAAACATGTTTGGCCGAATAAAGTACATTCCATGTTCTATTGTTACGAATGAAACGTGTAAACAACACACAATTGTTTTTGGTTCAAAAATCTAGTTTAATATAACGAAACTAGTTCTATACATTTTCTTATTGTTTTAGAATCTTATATTGATTTAAGGGTTGCGTCAAACTTGGTCTATACAAATATATATTTTTTTTGTGCCGTTGGATTTTTTACACCCAAAGACTGACTATACATTTTTGCAATTGTTTTTTAGCAAAAATCAGTTGTTTTCATATTTGGTTTTGTCGTTTGTGTATTTAAGTGTTTGAACCAATTTCCTGAAATTACTGTAGCAATGTAAAAAAATGAAAAATCTTTAAAGTTTAATACGTTTAACAATATTATATTTTACAAAAAAAATGTAATTTTGATTTTGATCGAAACCCAGTTTTCATTAAAATTATTTTTATATAGATATAATATTAACAAAAAAAACATACTAATACTATGTACCTATGCTACTTTACACCTTAAGTCATACAATTATAGTGCCTTTATATATTTAATCATTAATATTTTGTGCATTCAACTTACATTTTAAATTTGATTTCTATCTTATGTTTACACAAAAGCTATAGATTTATTTTCTTACATTGTAATATACAGTATTTTATAACTATTTGAATAGTTTTATATTTTTCATATCGAAAAAAAGTTGTTTTTCATAACATCTGTTGTTATGGAAATTAACGACCAAGAACTGAAGATATCATACATTTTCAAGTTTGTTAAAAAGTTTATACATTAAAAAAACTACTATTGTTTTTTTCGAAAACAACTTGTTTTTGAAAGTATTCCGTTAATTATTTGCGTACTTAAAATGTTTGAACTATTTATTTTCTTGCAATATAGAACCCTGATTTTACAATAATTATAGATGAAATCTTTAATTTAATTATCCAAGACTTATTAGTTATAATACCCAACCAATACATTTTCCTAAACAACTTGAATAAACAAAAAATATATCTATCAGATCTATTAAATATATATATCAGTGTTTAGATGTACTTCAAACACAAATAATATTGAACTATAGTATTTTAATATTATTTTTTCCATTATATTTAAGCTAGATACCTAATTAGTTTTATATAATAGTTTAACCCAGAACTTTTGGCCCAATAAAGTACCACTCAGCTAAGATATCTGATCTGATATGCTTTACATATAACAAAATTACATGCAGCCTCATGTTGAAACTATTAAATATAAAGTATTTATATTAATAAAATAATAAGTACCTATATTATTTTTTTGTTCAATGAAAATAAAAATTTTGACTTGTTTAATTTAAATGGGAGTTTTAAGTTTTTAAATTTTTATTTTATCATTTTCCATAATCTAAAGATTTATTAATAAGCCGTACAAAGTGTTAATATTCTAAGGAAATATTACAACTGGTATTCTTTGACGACCAATAAAATTCTGAAGATGACCAAAAAACTGTAAAATTATAACAATTTTATATTCGTTTTCTCATTAAGATTACCTTAATGAGACAACTAATAGAAATTTATTTTATGCCTGCTAATGTATAATATTAAGTTAAAAGTTCTCCAAAAGTATTATACTATGTTAAAAGTGGAAAAGTTACCACTATAAGTACTATAAGCACTCATTAAAATCGAGAAATACAAACTAAATAAAGAAAAACATTTAAACTTAAACAAAGGGCACCATAAACATTTTCAACAGTTAATAGAAGACTTCCTTATTAGCTACATCCTCTATCTCAAGGATCTTGAATAAACAAAAATTACAAACTAAATCTAATCTAAAATTGTATTTCAAATGCCAAATTTTCCTCTTCTCGAAGCTAAACTACCAGGAGACGTTTATCCAAATTGTTTGTTTAGATATTCGGATAGGTTTTTGTTGTTTCAAAAAAATTATCTTTAATTATTACTATAGTCTTTTTGTAGAGCTTCTTATTTTTACAAATTATTAGCTTATAAACAGTTACAAAAATGCATGCAGTTTTTGTTAGTTGTAAATAAAAGTTACTATAAAATGGAGAGATCGGTCGGTAAGAGACTCGTCAGGAATTCAAATCTTTATAAAATTTCAAATTCGGCGTATTGATGGAACAAGTTTGGGGTGAACTGAGATTTAAAATTCCAAGGGCAATAATCCTTTTAGTCTAAGTACATTTTAAGTTTTAGTACATTAGCAGAAAAATATCTTGCACGTGTATTGTTCAAATAATGACGTGTTTTCGTATTAAACTAGAAACATATGTATGTTACCCATGTACAAGTACACCGCATTGAAAAAAACAGATATGTGTAACGTTCTGATGACTAAGGCTCAACTAATTTTGATATTGCCAAATAAAACTCAATTAATAACATACCAAAGTTACGTTATGTCTATTTAAAGTTATATTGTTCCTGGACCGAAAAAGTTTATGTAGACCCAAAAAACCTAAGTTAACTTCAACTTGTTCTTAATAAATTTGTTTTCACAAGCTCAAACTCAAAATATTTAAATTTGTCTCATATATCTGTCTTGAGCCCAGAAAATTCCATTAACTATTTTTATCCATTATATTTATTTGGCACATTTTAAAAACTCAATGTATGAAAACTTAAGTATCTTTCCTGTCGCAAAGAAAGTAATTAAGTCTACCACCTTGAAAGGTCTAATAGTTTTAATAAACATTTTCTTCGCAATAGTTTGCACCTTTACTGCGCCTCAATAAGCTGTTTTTTTGTTCCCAATATTATGTATTATGTGTTATGTATTCCCAATATTATCGAATTGTGTTTTTTTGTTTTTGTATGTACTCATATACTAAAACGCCATAGAGATATTTTTTTTGAATACATTAGTAACAAAAATCCGTGTTGTTTAAATCCCTACATTTTTTTGACGTTGTACAAATATCTAAAAATGTAATACTTCTGTAGCAGCTAAAAAAAATATACTAGGTGTTATTGACTTGAGCTTAAAATTATAAGTT